GATTCTCCAACGAGACAAAAGCAAATGATCTTGTTTTAAAAAAAATACAGAAATGTCTCCTCTGGTTTGAACACGGTCACAATGTGTAAAATTAAGATTAAAAAACTTAGATTTTAACATTTATTTTACTCATATTTTACCATTTTTTGCAGTGTGCGTCTTTGATGGCGTCAATATTTGATTAAACAAGTCATTTCAGTTAAAAGTTATGTATCCAAGCTTTAAAATAATCAAAGTGAGGTCTCTGAGTAAGTGCTCATGTCGGTCCTGGATCCTCTCTCCGGCTGAAGGTGTGTCTCATTGTTCTTTCTTATTCAACGGAAAATCTAAAATAGCGCTGAACAAAAGGAGCCCGACAGAGACACCTCCTGCTGCCGGAACACTTTTATTCTCTATCGTCAAAGAAACAATGTGCTGTAGATTCAGACTTTTATAAAACATTTAAGAATATTAATGCACTGGTTATATATGAAGCTTTTCAGGACGCTCTAAGTTTACAAACTCACTGGTGATAAAGTCTTGTAGCCACAGCTGCCCTGGGGCACACTGACAGCAGCGAGGCAACCAGTCTGTGCCTCCGACCCCTCCCACCACCACCAACCACTCACACACACACCAGACTCATTCTAATGTGGGGAAGTGTCTTGCCTAAGGACACAGCCGCAGCCGCCCCACTGTGGCACCTGCTGTTCCCAGAGGTCTCCCATCACAGCATTGACCAGGCCCTGCCCTACTTAGCTTCAGAGGTACTCTGACAGTATCCGGCTTTCACCTGCAGGTTTAGCCACTGTGTAATATAAGTGTTTAGAAACTTCAGCGAAACTGTTTTGAACCTGGATCTGACCACTGTCAGAGAAGAGGCCTGTCTCACATTTTCAGGAAGACTAGAACATGTTACAAAAAGCATCATTTAGAAGCAATGTTATTTCCCATCCATTCCTCCTGAAACGCTGCCTTCACATGTTTAGTCCTGACTCTGGGACCAGCAGGAGGCCAGTCCCTGTGCTCCTCAGAGTCCCAGCAGGAGTCCAGTCCCTGTGCTCCTCAGAGTCCCAGCAGGAGGCCAGTCCCTGTGCTCCTCAGTAAGTCCCAGCAGCAGAGGCCAGTCCTGTGCTCCCAGAGTCCCAGCAGGAGGGCCAGTCCCTGTGCTCCTCAGAGTCCCAGCAGGAGGCAGTCCCTGTGCTCCTCAGAGTCCCTGAAGAAAGGCCAGTCCCTGTGCTCCTCAGAGTCCCAGCAGGAGTCCAGTCCTGTGCTCCTCAGAGTCCCAGCAGGAGGCCAGTCCCTGTGTCCTCAGAGTCCCAGCAGGAGGCCAGTCCCTGTGCTCCTCAGAGTCCCCAGCAGGAGGCCAGTCCCTGTGCTCCTCAGAGTCCCCAGCAGGAGTCCAGTCCCTGTGCTCCAGCGAGTCCCAGCAGGAGCCAGTCCCTGTGCTCCTCAGAGTCCCAGCAGGAGGCCAGTCCCTGTGCTCCTCTGAGTCCCAGCAGGAGTCCAGTACCCTGTGCTCTCAGGAGTCCCAGCAGGAGGCCAGTCCCTGTGCTCCTCAGAGTCCCAGCAGCGAGGCCAGTCCCTGTGCTCCTCAGAGTCCCAGCAGGAGGCCAGTCCCTGTGCTCCTCAGAGTCCCAGCAGGAGGCCAGTCCCTGTGCTCCTCAGAGTCCCAGCAGGAGGCCCAGTCCCTGTGCTCCTCAGAGTCCCAGCAGGAGGCCAGTCCCCTGTGTTCCTCAGAGTCCCAGCAGGAGTCCAGTCCCTGTGCTCCTCAGAGTCCCAGCAGGAGGCCAGTCCCTGTGCTCCTCAGAGTCCCAGCAGGAGTCCAGTCCCTGTGCTCCTCAGAGTCCCAGCAGGAGTCCAGTCCCTGTGCTCCTCAGAGTCCCAGCAGGAGGCCAGTCCCTGTGCTCCTCAGAGTCCCAGCAGGAGTCCAGTCCCTGTGCTCCTCAGAGTCCCAGCAGGAGTCCAGTCCCTGTGCTCCTCAGAGTCCCAGCAGGAGGCTAGTCCCTGTGCTCCTCAGAGTCCCAGTCCCTGTGCTACAGTCTACAGAATTAGTATTTTTGTTACCTATATTTTGTAAACATCATTTTTATCATCATACATTTTACAATTTTGTTTTCTATATTTTTTTTTACTTTTTCTTTATTTCTTTGATATTTTTTTCTTTTTTTTTACTTCTTGATACTATTATTATTATTATTATTTTCTGTCATCTTTCCGTTGCCTTGCGATGTTTTTATTTTATTATGACATTCTGTTTGGATTCTAACGTATCTACAGTCGGGTCACTCTCTGAGACACGGGAGACGCTGTCGGGATGTTTTTAAGTTCTAAATACTCCGTGGGCCTCTGCCTCGGGCTCGCTCTGGTCCTGAACTGTTGTGTAGCATAAATGTGTTTAACATATGCTTCAAACGCCATAAATAACTTAAAGGGCTCGGTACATGATGGAATGCTAATCTCATGTTACCGTCGGGCTAGCGTAGCACGGGCTCAGAGTGGCACGGGAATGTTTCAGTCTCTTTTTCAGCTAAATTTGTTAAGTTCATGAGTATTGAGGATTAGATTTATTAATTTAGATTATTTACCTAAACTAGTGATTTTATACTAGCTTCTTTATTATGCTAAAGCTAGATACTTATACTAGCTTCTGTATTATGCTAAAGCTAGAGATTTTATACTAGCTTATTTATTATGCTAAAGCTAGAGATTTTAGACTAGCTTTTTTATTATGCTAAAGCTAGATATTTTATACTAGCTTCTTTATTATGCTAAAGCTAGAGATTTTATACTAGCTTTTTTATTATGCTAAAGCTAGAGATTTATACTAGCTTCTTTATTATGCTAAAGCTAGAGATTTATACTAGCTTCTTTATTATGCTAAAGCTAGAGATTTATACTAGCTTCTTTATTATGCTAAAGCTAAATATTTTATACTAGCTTCTTTATTATGCTAAAGCTAGAGATTATAGACGTGCATGTTGAGGGTTAGATTATTCATTCATATAGAATATACCATAATACAGGATAACCCCACATTTGTACTTTAAAATAGTAATGTAATGGATTTAGATAAGGACATATTTTTATATTTATGGACATTGGTTCCATGTTTTGATATTATTTCCTGTTTGATTCTCTAATCTTTGTTGGCAAACTGCTGTCGTGATTTAGGACTATTTTTATTATGTTATTAAGCCTTTTTTTAACCAGGAAAGTCCCATAGAGATTAATAACCTCTTTTTCAAGGGAGTCCTGAACAAAAGTTAAAGACAGTGACTTTTGTAATGTCAATGAGGACGTCTCTCTATCTGGATCTGTACATCAAACTGTTAAACATGTAGTGACTATTCTCCCTCTTTAGATAAATTAATACATCTAAAAATACAGGTTTGCAGCATTATATGTTTAAGAAAATAGTAAAACATTGTGCTACAGGGTCAAAAAAGCCAAAATATCTACTTTTCTTTCAGGCAAAAAGTTGTAAAATGCAGCTTTAAAGTCAAATGTCAATAACTATCGGATGGAGATAATATTCTACGGCTCAGTTTTTAAAGTCTGGTCTTTTTGGTTGCAAAAGTGATGAAGATATTTGCTTATTTTCTCAGTTGTGCGATAACATTTGAGCCGAATAAGTCTCTTGTACGACTAATATTTTTAAATCTGTTGCTGATTTGTGTCACGTCCGTTTCTCCAACGATAATCACCACTTACACAGGGTTTTCCGGGACTCACTTCCTCTTTTTAAACTAAAAATACTAAATATGTGACAATCCACGATACACGTTCAATGTTATTTGTTTATTTGATCGGGACAATGCACATTAATGAACAGTATAAAACCGATGTAAATATACCGGATTATAGCCACCAAGCTAGTTTTCATCCGTAGTCCTGAGGCAGCAACAACTTTCATGGACATTTATTAACATTTATAAACATTTATTAACATTTATTAACATTGGGTTCTGTCTCTTATGAACCGATTGCTTTGTGTGTTTTCATTTCTTGCTTTTGAACAGTCTGATTCTCTAATCTGTGTTGGTGAATTCAACCGTTCAAGTCCTCTGCGGTGACTACTGCTGTGATTCAGGGCAATACAAAAATGCATTAAATTAAATATGTAAAAGGTCCATTGTAAGTCCTCGACAGGCCTCTCGTTGTCCAGGCTTGACTTTTTCTTCCCGCTAACTAGCATACAAGCTAACACTCGCATCTATTATGTATGAGGCTCATCCGAGGCTTATTCGTGTCAGTCCGACTATCACAGAGGGCACAGATCCATCCAGCTTTAAATAAACATGGCTCTGGCTCGTTCTACCATCTGCTCGTTCCACCCCCTCGAGACCTGCACCATCTTTAACCGCTCTCTCTTTTTCTGTCTCTGCAGGGTTCAACCAGGTGAGCTGAGGACAAGGGCTGGATCTGCATCTGGCCATCTGTCCGTCATCGTGTGGAGAGCCCCGGTGCCGGCCGCCCCTCAAACCCGCTCAACCACGACTGGCGGCAAACGAAACACAACCTCAGTGAAAGGCAAATACTTGAAGCCATTTTTGAGGAGACACAAAACCAACATTGCCGGCGGGGGAGGAGGAAAAGTTACCCATTCAAAGTGAAGCTCTCTGCTATTTTTGTTGCTCTGTGGGCAAGAAGCGTCTCATTTTGGAAAAGCTCAAAAACAGGACTTCCCTGTTCGCGCTCGCTGCTTAGTCAGATGCTTGTCTAAATACTGGACAGAGATATCAATTTGACCGCACACTTGCTACGCCCAACACATACACTGCGTGCTATCTTGGGAGGTTTTGACAATAAACAATCTGCCTGTGGCCTTCGGAACTGCTACTTATCCATTACTTTTTGAGAACAAAATCTGTGAATATGCAACAAGTGGCTGGAGCTTATTTCAACGTTGAGTTTTGAAGTGGTCCAAGTACGCAGCCCTGCGGGACCCCAACAGCAACGCATCACCTCAAATCTGGAGTTTTTTGTTTTAATGTCATCTCCCGCTTTGTGAATTCACCATGAAACCGCTAACACCCATCGGATCTCCTTCCCCTCTGAGGCTCCTCAACAAGGGGCCGGAGTATTTGCGGAGACAGATAGACGGGGGAAGCTACGGGCGTTCCATCAGCGCTGTGGAGAGGCTGGAGGCAGACAAGGCTAAATATGTCAAGAGCCAGCAGGTAATCAACACCAAACAGGAGCCTGTGTTGATCCCCTGTGCCACGCCGCCTCCCCGGAGAGCCGGGGTGAGCCCTGGGAACATAACACCTCACCTCCCCCCTCGCAGATCCTCCAACGCCGCCTTCTCCACTCTGTCAGACTCTATCGCCTCCAGGGATGAAAACGAAAACGAGGACTCCAGAAAGGAAAATCAACAGACTCTGGTTGACGTCGATACAAACAATCGTAGCAATGTGAATAACGTTTTGTTGCCTTCGAGTCCGAGAACCCCCGGTCTGGTAGCGCCACATAGTGCACCGGTGCTTAGACGGAGCACGGGGAAGCGGATGCTGAGGCCGGACTCGCTCGTCATCTACAGGCAGAAGAAAGAGTGCAAGAGTCCAACGAGTTCTGGGCCCGGGGAGAACAACAACACCGAGATAAAGGGTTACAGCTTCGTACGGCGTCTCTTCCAGGGATCTATGAGGGAGAGAAGCAGCGGCGGCGACAGTAGAATTCAAAAAATGGTGATTGGTGAAGAGAGGGCGCCGTCGCGGGATGGGGATTCCCGAATGTCCTGGACCAATGAGAAAGACACTCCAGACAGCGGGTTAGAAAGTAGACGCTCGAGCAGAATGGACCACGATCGTTCTCCTGGGACAATGTCAAGCCCAGGATTCGGCGCATTCGAGAAAAGCGAGGTCGTAAATGATGCTAATTTTAGTAACGGAAACAGCTCAAGTCTCCAGGATGAGAACGATCCATGGAAGCGAGCCTCTCCGGTGCAGAGACGGCACGTGGGACATTTGCGCCGTTCCAAATCGGACCTGGAGATCCGCGGCTCGGTGGCGCTGTCGGACCAGGCTGACTTCTTTGCTTTCTGCGGCCTGGATTTGGACATGATCGAGTGTCTGGGGCGGCAGAACTTCCTGTCCGGTGCCAGCTCCATAGACACGCTGTCGTTGGCCCTGCGGAGCGTGGTGGACGAGGGCCGCGGGGGATCCGAACCCAGTGAGTTCTCCCGTCACTCTGGAGACGGACTGTTCGAGGAGGAGATGGTGGAGACGCTTCCCACCGGAGTGTCCATCATCGAGAGAAACGCCAGAGTCATTAAGTGGCTTTATGGATGCAAGAACGCAGCTCGCGAAGGGCCTAAAGAGTCGACGGTTTGAGGTTCGGGGTCGGCGTGGTCTAAAAAATGAAAAGTATGAATCATCTCAGACTTTTACGTTATTACAGTGTTGTAGATGGTGAAACATTTGCACTCCTTTGTTTATAGTTATTTACTTTGTGGATCCATAGAGACTATAGTGCCAGTTCAATCCTGTCACATTGATATATATTTATAAATCCTATGGAAGTATTGTTTGGACCTGTTTAAGACCAGCAAAGCCTGGTGCAGAGTATGTATATTGAGTAAATGCTATTTTGTCTTATTGTGACTAAACCACTTTTATAAATGATATAAAACCAGCTCTCTCACTCTGGTCTCTCTCTCTGGTCTCTCTCGCTGGTCTCTCTCGCTGGCCTCTCTCTCTGGTCTCTCTCTGGTCTCTCTCGCTGGTCTCTCTCTGGTCTCTCTCTCTGGTCTCTCTCTCTGGTCTCTCTCTCTGGTCTCTCTCTCTGGTCTCTCTCTCTGGTCTCTCTCTCTGGTCTCTCTCGCTGGTCTCTCTCTCTGGTCTCTCGCTGGTCTCTCTCTCTGGTCTCTCTCTCTGGTCTCTCTCTCTGGTCTCTCTCTCTGGTCTCTCTCTCTGGTCTCTCTCTCTGGTCTCTCGCTGGTCTCTCGCTGGTCTCTCGCTGGTCTCTCGCTGGTCTCTCTCTCTGGTCTCTCGCTGGTCTCTCTCGCTGGTCTCTCTCTGGTCTCTCTCTCTGGTCTCTCTCTCTGGTCTCTCTCTGGTCTCTCTCTCTGGTCTCTCTCTCTGGTCTCTCTCTCTGGTCTCTCTCTCTGGTCTCTCTCTCTGGTCTCTCTCTCTGGTCTCTCTCTCTGGTCTCTCTCTCTGGTCTCTCTCTCTGGTCTCTCGCTGGTCTCTCGCTGGTCTCTCGCTGGTCTCTCGCTGGTCTCTCTCTGGTCTCTCTCTCTGGTCTCTCTCTCTGGTCTCTCGCTGGTCTCTCGCTGGTCTCTCGCTGGTCTCTCGCTGGTCTCTCTCTCTGGTCTCTCTCTCTGGTCTCTCTCTCTGGTCTCTCTCTCTGGTCTCTCTCTCTGGTCTCTCTCTGGTCTCTCTCGCTGGTCTCTCGCTGGTCTCTCTCTGGTCTCTCTCTCTGGTCTCTCTCTCTGGTCTCTCTCTCTGGTCTCTCTCTCTGGTCTCTCTCTCTGGTCTCTCTCTCTGGTCTCTCTCTGGTCTCTCTCTGGTCTCTCTCTGGTCTCTCTCTCTGGTCTCTCTCTGGTCTCTCTCTCTGGTCTCTCTCTGGTCTCTCTCTGGTCTCTCTCTGGTCTCTCTCTGGTCTCTCTCTGGTCTCTCTCTGGTCTCTCTCTGGTCTCTCTCTGGTCTCTCTCTGGTCTCTCTCTGGTCTCTCTCTGGTCTCTCTCAGCTCTTCTAAACTGCACAAAGGCACATATGAATATTAATATTTGTTGCGACACAGTCAACAACACTGATCCGTGTCACTGGCAACTCTTTAAGCCAAATGTCGGACCTGGAGTAGAAGCCACTAAGCTAATGCTAAGCTAATGCTAAGCTACGTGTGTGTTTTCAGTCTGTGTGTGAGTGAAGTGAACCGTGAGTACCTCATTTGGAGCTGTCCCAGTTTATGTTACTTTTTTCCTCCTTAAACGCAGGCGTTGGAACAAACATGCGAAGCGCCCCTGTGGGGTTGTTAATGCACTGAACTGGACACAGGAAATGAAACCAGGCTTATAGATTTAACTCCACAGACTCTCATAATGTTACCGCTGCTGTTGGGACGAGACGCAGCAGAGGCCGAGATCCCAACAACACCCTCTCCTTTAAATGGGTCAAATCTGCTCATTATTATTATTATTATTATTGATTAATGTTTTTGTCTCTGGCTGTGGTCAAAGATGTACTGCATAAGACAAACTCTCCCTCTGGTCTCTCCCTCTGGTCTCTCCCTCTGGTCTCTCCCTCTGGTCTCTCCCTCTGGTCTCTCCCTCTGGTCTCTCCCTCTGGTCTCTCTCTCTGGTCTCTCTCTCTGGTCTCTCTCTCTGGTCTCTCTCTCTGGTCTCTCTCTCTGGTCTCTCTCTCTGGTCTCTCTCTCTCTCTCTCTCTCTCTGGTCTCTCTCTCTGGTCTCTCTCTGGTCTCTCTCTGGTCTCTCTCTCTGGTCTCTCTCTCTGGTCTCTCTCTCTGGTCTCTCTCTCTGGTCTCTCTCTCTGGTCTCTCCCTCTGGTCTCTCTCTCTGGTCTCTCTCTCTGGTCTCTCTCTCTGGTCTCTCTCTCTGGTCTCTCTCTCTGGTCTCTCTCTCTGGTCTCTCTCTCTCTGGTCTCTCTCTCTGGTCTCTCTCTCTGGTCTCTCTCTCTGGTCTCTCTCCGGTCTCTCTCCGGTCTCTCTCCGGTCTCTCTCCGGTCTCTCTCCGGTCTCTCTCCGGTCTCTCTCCGGTCTCTCTCCGGTCTCTCTCTGGTCTCTCTCTGGTCTCTCTCCGGTCTCTCTCCGGTCTCTCTCCGGTCTCTCTCCGGTCTCTCTCCGGTCTCCCTCTGGTCTCCCTCTGGTCTCCCTCTGGTCTCCCTCTGGTCCCCCTCTGGCCTCTCAGGTCGACACAAACAGAGGAAGCTAAAGGCTGCCGCACACTTCCTTCACTTCATCCATCCCATAATTCTCCCGTTATCACCAGAGACGGTCCTTTCCAGAGCAGAGCCTGGCACTGGGGGGTGAGGGTGGGGGTGGGGGGGTCAGAGGTATGTGGGGTCAGACGGGGAGGGGTCCAGGCCCTCTCTCTCTCTCTCTCTCTCTGCAGATGTGACAGATGTAGTGTATGTCTCCTGGACTCCCTAAAGCTGGACTTGGGTTCTGTGTAAAACATGTCATCTGACTTTGAATTCCAAAGAAGTGTATTTTGTTCACAGCAAATAAAGAATTATATGTAACATGCTTTGATATGTTTGTCTTCTTTGCTCACAGATACAGACATATTGAAATTTTATATTATTTTCTGTAAATAATATAACATTTCTTTCACTTCTCAAATAAACATTGATAGGGATCCAAACCTTTGTATAAAACTGTGACATTTAAGATTAAGATATCTTTTATCCAGCCCACAGTGGGAAATGTCAGTCACAAAACAGTAGAAGAAGTTGGATCAGTAGAATGATCCAACACATAACTGCAGGGAACGCCAACATGGAACGCCATAACCAGGTGTCTGCAGAGTATGGGCTGGAACCAAGGTCTAAGTAGTGAGAGAGTCTGAGGGTAAAGGAGACAGTAGTGAGAGAGTCTGAAGGTAAAGGAGACAGTAGTGAGAGAGTCTGAGGGTAAAGGAGACAGTAGTGAGAAAGTCTGAAGGTAAAGGAGACAGTAGTGAGAGAGTCTGAAGGTAAAGGAGACAGTAGTGAGAGAGTCTGAGGGTAAAGGAGACAGTAGTGAGAGAGTCTGAGGGTAAAGGAGACAGTAGTGAGAGAGTCTGAAGGTAAAGGAGACAGTAGTGTGAGAGAGTCTGAAGGTAAAGGAGACAGTAGTGAGAGAGTCTGAAGGTAAAGGAGACAGTAGTGAGAGAGTCTGAGGGTAAAGGAGACAGTAGTGAGAGAGTCTGAAGGTAAAGGAGACAGTAGTGAGAGAGTCTGAGGGTAAAGGAGACAGTAGTGAGAGAGTCTGAGGGTAAAGGAGACAGTAGTGAGAGAGTCTGAAGGTAAAGGAGACAGTAGTGAGAGAGTCTGAAGGTAAAGGAGACAGTAGTGAGAGAGTCTGAAGGTAAAGGAGACAGTAGTGAGAGAGTCTGAGGGTAAAGGAGACAGTAGTGAGAGAGTCTGAGGGTAAAGGAGACAGTAGTGAGAGAGTCTGAAGGTAAAGGAGACAGTAGTGAGAGAGTCTGAAGGTAAAGGAGACAGTAGTGAGAGAGTCTGAAGGTAAAGGAGACAGTAGTGAGAGAGTCTGAAGGTAAAGGAGACAGTAGTGAGAGAGTCTGAAGGTAAAGGAGACAGTAGTGAGAGAGTCTGAGGGTAAAGGAGACAGTAGTGAGAGAGTCTCAAGGTAAAGGAGACAGTAGTGAGAGAGTCTGAAGGTAAAGGAGACAGTAGTGAGAGAGTCTGAAGGTAAAGGAGAGAGTAGTGAGAGAGTCTGAAGGTAAAGGAGACAGTAGTGAGAGAGTCTGAAGGTAAAGGAGACAGTAGTGAGAGAGTCTGAAGGTAAAGGAGACAGTAGTGAGAGAGTCTGAAGGTAAAGGAGACAGTAGTGAGAGAGTCTGAAGGTAAAGGAGACAGTAGTGAGAGAGTCTGAAGGTAAAGGAGACAGTAGTGAGAGAGTCTGAAGGTAAAGGAGACAGTAGTGAGAGAGTCTGAGGGTAAAGGAGACAGTAGTGAGAGAGTCTGAAGGTAAAGGAGACAGTAGTGAGAGAGTCTGAGGGTAAAGGAGACAGTAGTGAGAGTGTCTGAGGGTAAAGGAGACAGTAGTGAGAGAGTCTGAAGGTAAAGGAGACAGTAGTGAGAGAGTCTGAGGGTAAAGGAGACAGTAGTGAGAGAGTCTGAGGGTAAAGGAGACAGTAGTGAGAGAGTCTGAAGGTAAAGGAGACAGTAGTGAGAGAGTCTGAAGGTAAAGGAGACAGTAGTGAGAGAGTCTGAAGGTAAAGGAGACAGTAGTGAGAGAGTCTGAGGGTAAAGGAGACAGTAGTGAGAGAGTCTGAAGGTAAAGGAGACAGTAGTGAGATAGTCTGAGGGTAAAGGAGACAGTAGTGAGAGAGTCTGAAGGTAAAGGAGACAGTAGTGAGAGAGTCTGAGGGTAAAGGAGACAGTAGTGAGAGAGTCTGAGGGTAAAGGAGACAGTAGTGAGAGAGTCTGAAGGTAAAGGAGAGAGTAGTGAGAGAGTCTGAAGGTAAAGGAGACAGTAGTGAGAGAGTCTGAAGGTAAAGGAGACAGTAGTGAGAGAGTCTGAAGGTAAAGGAGACAGTAGTGAGAGAGTCTGAAGGTAAAGGAGACAGTAGTGAGAGAGTCTGAAGGTAAAGGAGACAGTAGTGAGAGAGTCTGAAGGTAAAGGAGACAGTAGTGAGAGAGTCTGAAGGTAAAGGAGACAGTAGTGAGAGAGTCTGAAGGTAAAGGAGACAGTAGTGAGAGAGTCTGAAGGTAAAGGAGACAGTAGTGAGAGAGTCTGAGGGTAAAGGAGACAGTAGTGAGAGAGTCTGAGGGTAAAGGAGACAGTAGTGAGAGAGTCTGAAGGTAAAGGAGACAGTAGTGAGAGAGTCTGAAGGTAAAGGAGACAGTAGTGAGAGAGTCTGAAGGTAAAGGAGACAGTAGTGAGAGAGTCTGAAGGTAAAGGAGACAGTAGTGAGAGAGTCTGAAGGTAAAGGAGACAGTAGTGAGAGAGTCTGAAGGTAAAGGAGACAGTAGTGAGAGAGTCTGAAGGTAAAGGAGACAGTAGTGAGAGAGTCTGAAGGTAAAGGAGACAGTAGTGAGAGAGTCTGAAGGTAAAGGAGACAGTAGTGAGAGAGTCTGAAGGTAAAGGAGAGAGTAGTGAGAGAGTCTGAAGGTAAAGGAGACAGTAGTGAGAGAGTCTGAGGGTAAAGGAGACAGTAGTGAGAGTGTCTGAGGGTAAAGGAGACAGTAGTGAGAGAGTCTGAAGGTAAAGGAGACAGTAGTGAGAGAGTCTGAGGGTAAAGGAGACAGTAGTGAGAGAGTCTGAAGGTAAAGGAGACAGTAGTGAGAGAGTCTGAAGGTAAAGGAGACAGTAGTGAGAGAGTCTGAAGGTAAAGGAGACAGTAGTGAGAGAGTCTGAGGGTAAAGGAGACAGTAGTGAGAGAGTCTGAAGGTAAAGGAGACAGTAGTGAGAGAGTCTGAGGGTAAAGGAGACAGTAGTGAGAGAGTCTGAAGGTAAAGGAGAGAGTAGAGAGAGACTTCAGATCTCACAGATATCGATGTTTTCTTTGACTTCTCGTGTTTCAGACGTGAACCTGCAGAATCTCTGCTGCATTCTCTGCATAGTCTTCGCTCCGATCACTTCCAACAGGTTTTTGTTGGAGACAAACGCAGTCACATGGTCTCAACAGTCTCATGGTCTCAGCAGTCTCATGGTCTCAGCAGTCTCATGGTCTCAACAGTCTCATGGTCTCAACAGTCTCATGGTCTCAGCAGTCTCATGGTCTCAGCAGTCTCATGGTCTCAACAGTCTCATGGTCTCAGCAGTCTCATGGTCTCAGCAGTCTCATGGTCTCAGCAGTCTCATGGTCTCAACAGTCTCATGGTCTCAACAGTCTCATGGTCTCAGCAGTCTCATGGTCTCAACAGTCTCATGGTCTCAACAGTCTCATGGTCTCAGCAGTCTCATGGTCTCAACAGTCTCATGGTCTCAGCAGTCTCATGGTCTCAGCAGTCACATGGTCTCAGCAGTCTCATGGTCTCAGCAGTCACATGGTCTCATGGTCTCAGTGGTCTCAGCAGTCTCATGGTCTCAGCAGTCACATGGTCTCAGTACTCACATGGTCTCAGTACTCACATGGTCTCAGTACTCACATGGTCTCAGCAGTCACATGGTCTCAGAAGTCACATGGTCTCAGAAGTCACATGGTCTCAGCCTCTGGACACGTCACTCTCCATTGTCTCCATCAGTGACTCATGGTTCAACCAGAAACATCCAGACAACAATGTGTGACAGAGGCTTGTCTGGTGGAAAACTAGCTTAGCATCGTTAGTGGAGAATCATATGGTATGCAGAGCTACCCTGGTCTAACCACACCATAGAACTCACTTCATTTGGTTCTAAGGTCTGGATTTGCTCCAGAGAGAGAGACCAGAGAGAGAGACCAGAGAGAGAGACCAGAGAGAGAGACCTGAGAGAGACCAGAGAGAGAGACCAGAGAGAGAGACCAGAGAGAGACCAGAGAGAGAGACCAGAGAGAGACCAGAGAGAGACCAGAGAGAGAGACCAGAGAGAGACCAGAGAGAGACCAGAGAGAGACCAGAGAGAGCGAGACCAGAGAAAGAGACCAGAGAGAGAGACCTGAGAGAGACCAGAGAGAGAGACCTGAGAGAGACCAGAGAGGGACCAGAGAGAGACCAGAGAGAGACCAGAGAGAGAGAGACTAGAGAGACTAGAGAGAGAGACCAGAGAGAGGCCAGAGAGAGACCAGAGAGAGACCAGAGAGAGACTAGAGAGAGAGACCAGAGAGAGAGAGACTAGAGAGAGAGACTAGAGAGAGAGAGACCAGAGAGAGACGTATGTAATGTGCCTGAGTGAGTGAGGGCTTTAGCATTTAGCCACTGTGCTCTCTGATGGCTGAGTGGTTAGCACATGGTTCCAACACGTTTTTTTCCATTATTTTTCTGTTTGTAGAATGTAAAATGTTTCTGTTTTGTCTTGGCAAAACAGTCTTGTCTCCATCTCTCTCTGTGTCTCTCTCTCTCTCTGTGGGGCCTGGGGCCCTGCTGTCACTTCCTGTTTGGCCCTCACAGTTCACACATGGACAACTTTTGGGTTTGACCTTTTTCTTTTCTTCTCTTTCTGGAAACAAACATCCAAATCTTCTGCAGAACAATCAGGACTTATTATTCTGATGATCCTGATTCTCACAGAGCAGACGGCTCTGGGTCTGTAGAGCAGAGGGCTCTGGGTCTGTAGAGCACACGGCTCTGGGTCTGTAGAGCAGAAGGCTCTGGGTCTGTAGGGCAGAGGGCTCTGGGTCTGTAGAGCAGAGGGCTCTGGGTCTGTAGAGCAGAGGGCTCTGGGTCTGTAGAGCACACGGCTCTGGGTCTGTAGAGCACACGGCTCTGGGTCTGTAGAGCAGAGGGCTCTGGGTCTGTAGAGCAGACGGCTCTGGGTCTGTAGAGGGCTCTGGGTCTGTAGAGCAGAAGGCTCTGGGTCTGTAGAGCAGACGGCTCTGGGTCTGTAGAGCACACGGCTCTGGGTCTGTAGAGCAGAGGGCTCTGGGTCTGTAGAGCAGACGGCTCTGGGTCTGTAGAGCAGAGGGCTCTGGGTCTGTAGAGCAGAGGGCTCTGGGTCTGTAGAGCAGAGGGCTCTGGGTCTGTAGAGCAGACGGCTCTGGGTCTGTAGAGCAGAGGGCTCTGGGTCTGTAGAGCAGACGGCTCTGGGTCTGTAGAGCAGAGGGCTCTGGGTCTGTAGAGCAGAGGGCTCTGGGTCTGTAGAGCAGACGGCTCTGGGTCTGTAGAGCAGAGGGCTCTGGGTCTGTAGAGCAGAGGGCTCTGGGTCTGTAGAGCAGACGGCTCTGGGTCTGTAGAGCAGAGGGCTCTGGGTCTGTAGAGCAGAGGGCTCTGGGTCTGTAGAGCAGAGGGCTCTGGGTCTGTAGAGCAGAAGGCTCTGGGTCTGTAGAGCAGAGGGCTCTGGGTCTGTAGAGCAGAGGGCTCTGGGTCTGTAGAGGGCTCTGGGTCTGTAGCAGCAGAGGCAGAGGCAGAGGCAGAGGCAGGGGGGGCAGGACAGAGGCAGAGGCAGAGGCAGGGGCAGGGACAGAGGCAGAGGCAGAGACAGAGGCAGAGGCAGAGGCAGAGACAGAGGCAGAGACAGAGACAGAGACAGAGGCAGGGGCAGGGGCAGGGGCTAAGGGGCAGGGGCAGGGGCAGGGGCAGGGGCAGAGGCAGAGGCAGGGGCAGGGGCAGGGGAAGGGGCAGAGGCAGGGGCAGAGGCAGAGGCAGAGACAGAGGCAGAGGCAGAGACAGAGGCAGAGGCAGAGGCAGAGGCAGAGGCAGAGACAGAGACAGAGGCAGAGACAGAGGCAGAGGACAGAGACAGAGACAGAGACAGAGGCAGAGACAGAGACAGAGACAGAGACAGAGACAGAGGCAGAGGCAGAGACAGAGGCAGGGGCAGGGGCAGGGGCAGGGGCAGAGGCAGAGACAGAGACAGAGACAGAGGCAGAGACAGAGACAGAGGCAGAGGCAGAGGCAGAGACAGAGGCAGGGGCAGGGGCAGAGGCAGAGGCAGAGGCAGGGGCAGAGGCAGGGACAGAGGCAGAGACAGAGGCAGAGGCAGAGGCAGACAGAGGCAGAGGCAGGGGCAGGGGCAGGGGCAGGGACAGAGGCAGGGGCAGAGGCAGGGACAGAGGCAGAGGCAGGGGCAGGGGCAGGGGCAGGGACAGAGGCAGAGGCAGGGGCAGAGGCAGGGGCAGAGGCAGGGACAGAGGCAGAGGCAGAGGCAGAGGCAGAGGCAGGGGCAGAGGACAGAGGCAGGGACAGAGACAGAGGCAGAGACAGAGACAGAGGCAGAGACAGAGGCAGGGGCAGGGGCAGGGGCAGAGACAGAGGCAGGGACAGAGGCAGAGGCAGGGGCAGGGGCAGGGGCAGGGCAGGGCAGGGGCAGGGGCAGGGGCAGAGGCAGAGGCAGAGGCAGAGGCAGGGGCAGGGGCAGGGGCAGGGGCAGGGGCAGGGGCAGGGGCAGAGGCAGAGGCAGAGACAGAGGCAGGGCAGGGGCAGAGGCAGAGACAGAGGCAGGGGCAGGGGCAGGGACAGAGGCAAAGGCAGGGGCAGGGGCAGAGGCAGAGGCAGGGGCAGGGGCAGGGGCAGAGGCAGAGGCAGAGGCAGAGGCAGCGGCAGGGGCAGGGGCAGGGACAGAGGCAGAGGCAGAGGCAGAGGCAGGGGCAGGGGCAGGGGAAGGGGCAGAGGCAGGGGCAGGGGAAGGGGCAGAGGCAGAGGCAGGGGCAGGGGCAGAGGCAGAGGCAGAGGCAGAGGCAGAGGCAGGGGCAGAGGCAGGGGCAGAGGCAGAGGCAGAGGCAGGGACAGAGGCAGAGACAGAGGCAGGGGCAGGGGCAGAGGCAGAGACAGAGACAGAGGCAGAGGCAGAGACAGAGGCAGAGGCAGAGACAGAGACAGAGGCAGAGGCAGAGGACAGAGGCAGAGGCAGAGGCAGAGGCAGAGCAGGCAGGGCAGGGGCAGGGGCAGGACAGAGGCAGAGGCAGAGGCAGAGACAGAGACAGAGACAGAGGCAGAGGCAGAGGCAGAGACAGAGGCAGAGGCAGAGACAGAGACAGAGGCAGAGGCAGAGGCAGAGGCAGAGACAGAGGCAGAGGCAGAGGCAGAGGCAGAGACAGAGGCAGAGGCAGAGACAGAGGCAGAGGCAGAGGCAGAGGCAGAGGCAGAGGCAGAGGCAGAGGCAGGGGCAGAGGCAGAGGCAGAGGCAGAGGCAGAGACAGAGGCAGGGGCAGGGGCAGGGGCAGGGGCAGGCAGAGACAGAGGCAGAGACAGAGACAGAGACAGAGGCAGAGACAGAGGCAGAGGCAGAGGCAGAGGCAGAGGCAGAGGCAGAGGCAGAGACAGAGACAGAGACAGAGGCAGAGGCAGAGGCAGAGGCAGAGGCAGAGGCAGGGGCAGAGGCAGAGGCAGAGGCAGAGGCAGAGACAGAGGCAGAGGCAGAGGCAGAGGCAGAGGCAGGGGCAGGGGCAGGGGCAGGGGCAGGGGCAGAGGCAGAGGCAGAGGCAGAGGCAGAGGCAGAGACAGAGACAGAGGCAGAGACAGAGACAGAGGCAGAGGCAGAGGCAGAGACAGAGGCAGAGGCAGAGGCAAAGACAGAGACAGAGGCAGAGGCAGAGGCAGAGGAGGGCAGGGGCAGAGACAGAGGCAGAGGCAGAGACAGAGACAGAGACAGAGACAGAGGCAGAGGCAGAGGCAGAGACAGAGACAGAGACAGAGGCAGAGGCAGAGACAGAGACAGAGGCAGAGGCAGAGACAGAGGCAGAGGCAGAGGCAGAGACAGAGACAGAGACAGAGGCAGAGGCAGAGACAGAGGCAGAGGCAGAGGCAGAGGCAGAGGCAGAGACAGAGACAGAGGCAGAGGCAGAGACAGAGACAGAGGCAGAGGCAGAGGCAGAGACAGAGACAGAGGCAGAGGCAGAGACAGAGACAGAGGCAGAGGCAGAGGCAGAGACAGAGGCAGAGGCATAGGCAGAGACAGAGACAGAGACAGAGGCAGAGGCAGAGACAGAGACAGAGGCAGAGGCAGAGGCAGAGACAGAGGCAGGGGCAGAGACAGAGGCAGAGGCAGGGGCAGGGGCAGAGGCAGAGACAGGGGCAGGGGCAGAAGCAGAGGCAGAGACAGGGGCAGGGGCAGGGGCAGGGGCAGAGGCAGAGACAGGGGCAGGGGCAGAAGCAGAGGCAGAGGCAGAGACAGAGGCAGGGCAGGGGCAGGGGCAGGCAGAGCAGAGGCAGAGGCAGGGGCAGGGACAGAGGCAGAGGCAGGGGCAGGGGCAGGGGAAGGGGCAGAGGCAGAGGCAGGGGCAGGGGAAGGGGGCAGAGGCAGAGGCAGAGGCAGGGGCAGGGGCAGGGGCAGGGGCAGGGGAAGGGGCAGAGGCAGGGGCAGGGGCAGGGGCAGGGGCAGGGGCAGAGGCAGAGGCAGAGGCAGGGACAGAGGCAGAGGCAGAGGCAGGGGCAGGGGCAGGGGCAGAGGCAGGGGCAGGGGCAGAGGCAGAGGCAGAGGCAGGGGCAGGGGCAGGGGCAGGGACAGAGACAGAGGCAGAGGCAGAGGCAGAGGCAGGGGCAGGGGCAGAGGCAGAGGCAGGGGCAGGGCAGGGGCAGGGGCAGGGGAAGGGGCAGGGACAGAGGCAGAGGCAGGGGCAGGGGCAGGGACAGAGGCAGAGGCAGGGGCAGGGGCAGGGGAAGGGGCAGGGGCAGAGGCAGGGGCCGGGACAGAGGCAGGGGCAGGGACAGAGGCAGAGGCAGGGGCAGTGGCAGGGGCAGGGGCAGGGGCAGGGGCAGAGGCAGGGACAGAGGCAGAGGCAGAGGCAAGAGGCAGAGGCAGAGGAAGGGCAGGGGCAGAGGCAGGGGCAGAGGCAGAGGCAGGGCAGGGGCAGGGGCAGGGGCAGAGGCAGAGGCAGAGGCAGGGCAGGGGCAGGGGCAGGGGCAGAGGCAGGGTCAGAGGCAGAGGCAGAGGCAGGGGCAGGGGCAGGGACAGGGGCAGGGGCAGAGGCAGAGGCAGGGCAGGGGCAGAGGCAGGGGCAGAGGCAGAGGCAGAGGCAGGGCAGGGGCAGGGGCAGGGGCAGAGGCAGGGGCAGGGGCAGGGACAGGGACAGGGGCAGGGGCAGAGGCAGAGGCAGGGGCAGGGGCAGAGGCAGGGGCAGAGGCAGAGGCAGAGGCAGGGCAGGGCAGGGCAGGGGCAGAGGCAGAGGCAGAGGCAGAGGCAGAGGCAGGGCGGACAGAGGCAGAGGCAGAGGCAGGGCGGGACAGAGGCAGAGGCAGGGGCAGGGGCAGGGGCAGGGGAAGGGGCAGAGGCAGGGCAGAGGCAGAGGCAGAGGCAGAGGCAGGGCAGGGCAGGGCAGAGGCAGAGCAGAGGCAGGGGCAGGGCAGGGCAGGGGCAGAGGCAAGGCAGAGGCAGAGGGGGCAGGGCAGGGGGGCAGGCAGGGGCAGAGGCAGAGGCAGGGCAGGGGCAGGGCAGAGGCAGAGGCAGGGCAGGGGCAGAGGCAGAGGCAGGAGGGCAGGGCAGGCAGAGGCAGAGGCAGGCAGGGGCAGGGGCAGGGCAGAGGCAGAGGCAGGGACAGGGGCAGGGGCAGGGCAGAGGCAGGGCAGGGCAGGGGCAGGGGCAGAGGCAGAGGCAGAGGCAGGGGCAGGGACAGAGGCAGAGGCAGGGGCAGGGGCAGGGGCAGGGGCGGGGGAAGGGGCAGAGGCAGAGGCAGGGGCAGAGGCAAGAAGGCAGAGGAAGGGCAGGGGCAGAGGCAGGGGCAGAGGCAGAGGCAGAGGCAGGGCAGGGGCAGGGGCAGGGGCAGAGGCAGAGGCAGGGCAGGGGCAGGGGCAGGGGCAGAGGCAGGGTCAGAGGCAGAGGCAGAGGCAGAGGCGGGCAGGGGCAGAGGCAGGGGCAGAGGCAGAGGCAGGGGCAGGGGCAGGGACAGGGGCAGAGGCAGGCAGGGCAGAGGCAGAGGCAGGGGCAGAGGCAGGGGCAGAGGCAGAGGCAGGGGCAGGGGCAGGGACAGGGGCAGAGGCAGGGGCAGAGGCAGAGGCAGAGGCAGAGGCAGAGGCAGAGGCAGAGGCAGAGGCAGGGGCAGGGGCAGGGACAGGGGCAGGGGCAGAGGCAGAGGCAGGGCAGGGGCAGAGGCAGGGGCAGAGGCAGAGGCAGGGGCAGGGGCAGGGACAGGGGCAGAGGCAGGGGCAGAGGCAGAGGCAGAGGCAGAGGCAGGGGCAGAGGCAGAGGCAGAGGCAGGGCAGGGGGCAGGGGCAGGGGCAGAGGCAGAGGCAGGGCAGGGGCAGGGCAGGGGCAGAGGCAGAGGCAGGGCAGGGCAGGGCAGGGGCAGAGGCAGGGCAGAGGCAGAGGCAGAGGCAGGGCAGGGGCAGAGGCAGAGGCAGAGGCAGGGGCAGGGGCAGGGGCAGAGGCAGGGGCAGAGGCAGAGGCAGAGGCAGGGGCAGGGGCAGGGGCAGGGGCAGGGGCAGGGGCAGGGACAGGGGCAGGGGCAGGGGCAGAGACAAGATTAAGATTAAAAGATCCTTATTCGTCCCACAGCGGGGAAATTGCAGTGTTGCATCACGAGTTACAGAACAGTTGGAATGAGGAGCACAGTGTGAGCACTGACCAGAGCGTGCGTAGCTCTCGTGGCAGGTGTGTGTGTGTGTGTGTGTGAGCACTGACCAAAGCGTGCGTAGCTCTCGTGGCAGGTGTGTGTGTGTGTGTGTGTGTGTGTGTGTGTGTGTGTGAGCACTGACCAGAGCGTGCGTAGCTCTCGTGGCAGGTGTGTGTGTGTGTGTATGTGTGTGTGTGCACTGACCAGAGCGTGCGTAGCTCTCGTGGCAGGTGTGTGTGTGTGTGTGTATGTGTGTGTGTGCACTGACCAGAGCGTGCGTAGCTCTCGTGGCAGGTGTGTGTGTGTGTGTGTGTGAGCACTGACCAAAGCGTGCGTAGCTCTCGTGGCAGGTGTGTGTGTGTGTGTGTGCACTGACCAGAGCGTGCGTAGCTCTCGTGGCAGGTGTGTGTGATCTCTGCAGCCAGGTCCAGATAGTGTTGCCTCTTCTCCTGTGGTCCGTCGTCTGCCCCGATCCCGATCATGCCCCCGGAGAAGCAGGCCAGGTGCCCCATCTTGTGGTCCAGAATGCCCCCCCTCCACTCGGCCATGTAGGTCAGGCCCCCCGACGACTTCTGCACCAGGTTAGCTTCAATCGCCTGCAACGCACAACGACAAAGAAGTGAGTCAGGAGATACAACATGGACACGCACTACACTTCTAGAGCCAATGAGAGGCCAGGACCAAACTCAAATGTAGAGAAGGCACCACACATTTGATATAATTTGCACTAAAATGTCAAAATAATAATCAGGACATGTAGAGAGCACTATAAAAAACATATTTATGCAGTTTATGAGGAAAGTTGATCTTCCGCTCTCTTTGCGGTTTTTACAGAATTATCTTCTGCTGTTTTAAACTTGTCACTGTGATTTCAGGGCCATTATATTTTTATTTTTGAACACACATTTTACATTGTATTTTAACTTGTATTTGATGTGTTTTTACCTGTTTTTTACAGTGAAGTGCTTTGTGGCCTTGGTCTGTGAAAGACGCTGTATAAACAAAGATTACTGACTACTATATTGGCTAAAAATATAAGAATTCATGAAATAAACCACTTCAATCTTAGGAAATTGACCAAAATATGTTAACTCATTGACTGCTGCCGTTTTGATGATTTCACTGATTCTAAAGACCCACAGAATATTATTTCCTAAAACTATTCTACCAGATTCTGAAAGACTGGATTGTCTTCTTTCATCAGCAAAAATAAGTTTGTGTCTAGCTATTTTTGTTGTCCAGTAATCCCCGGCCAAACAGAGGGTCTCAGACAAAAACGTCAATGAGTTAATAAGTAACACTGGGTCACACTGGGGGACTCTCGCACAGTTTTTCCAATGTGGTTTTACTGCAAATGGCAAATAAATTCTTGTTTCTTGTATCATTTAAAAGTACTTTTATTAACCCCCATAGGGCACTTCATCTTCTGCATTTGACCCAGATCCTGAGGCCACTAAGGCTTCTGTCAGGAGCGGCGGTTGCCATGGTAACAGCACCCGGTGTGTTTTTAGTGGCAGTGGAACTCGGAGCACCTGGAGGAATCCTACGCAGACATGGCGAAAAACATGCAAACTCCTCTCAGAAAGGCTCTGTTCCTGGGATTTGAACCTTCTTGCTGAGAAGCGAGACTGTTAACCACTCAGCCACTGTGCCGAGTGAATAATAATGTGTGCTCTGTCGTCTGCAAACTTCCAGAAAGCCTAAAACACACACCAACACTTATGAAAACTAGAGAAAATAATGAAATCTTGGAGAAACGCTGATCGTGGAGGTCTGGGAGTGACGCTAGCTAATGAGCGAGGTTAGCATTAATCATAGCTGGGTATAATCAGAGTAATCCCCTCTCATTCCACAATGCGTTTAATCAATCGCGCACTTTTTCCCAAACGCTAAAGTTAATGAGACGTTTTTTCCGCCGTCACCTCAGATCCTTTTACACACACAGAGAACGGCGTCGCGCTCCGGTCCTTAGCCACTTCAACACAAAGACACCAGGGAAAACGGATACTGTAATTAGCATCTGCGCCTCTGGCTTGACCCGGCAAAGAATCTCCAACAAATCTCTGCAGCCATCTCGAGTTTATTGTGCGCGATGGTGTAATTGCAGCCTCAGGGACAGAGCTTTAGTCCTGAGACATTATCCCATTAAACCCCTCTATCTGTATATATATTTCATGAATATGGGCGTGTACGTTTAGTGTTATTTTAGCCTCGTCGTAAAAGGCACCAATACACAAGCGACCGGTCGGTTAGCAGCTAATTGTCGCTATAATCACATTACACAGACCCGGGAAAGGCCTTGATGTTATCGTGAGTCCTCTGCTCCGCTCCACAGGGCCCACGCTCTACCATTAAGATTAATAGACCCTTTATTCATCCCACAGTGGGGAAATTTCAGTGTTGCATCGGCAGATACAGAACAGTAGGAATGAGGAGCACACAGCACAAGATGAATGAGCAATAACTAATAAAATGCTAATAATAAAATGTTAAAATATGAGGTGATAATTGTTTGAATTGAAAAGTGGTTTCTGTCTGAATTTGAGGACTTTATGACTGCAATCTCATTCCTCCCGGTGGTGGGGGTGTACCCGGAAAGAGAATTACCCAATGCTTTTGTATGGAGTGCTCTTTCCTCTCGAAAGCGTTTTACAGGATGGTCCCAAAGTGGCTCTTGGTCCAAAAGTGGTTCTTGGTCCCAAAGTGGTTCTTGGTCCAAAAGTGGCTCTTGGTCCAAAAGTGGTTCTTGGTCCAAAAGTGGTTCTTGGTCCAAAAGTGGTTCTTGGTCCAAAAGTGGTTCTTGGTCCCAAAGTGGTTCTTGGTCCAAAAGTGGCTCTTGGTCCAAAAGTGGTTCTTGGTCCAAAAGTGGCTCTTGGTCCAAAAGTGGTTCTTGGTCCAAAAGTGGCTCTTGGTCCAAAAGTGGTTCTTGGTCCAAAAGTGGCTCTTGGTCCAAAAGTGGTTCTTGGTCCAAAAGTGGCTCTTGGTCCAAAAGTGGTTCTTGGTCCAAAAGTGGCTCTTGGTCCAAAAGTGGCTCTTGGTCCCAAAGTGGTTCTTGGTCCAAAAGTGGCTCTTGGTCCAAAAGTGGTTCTTGGTCCAAAAGTGGCTCTTGGTCCAAAAGTGGTTCTTGGTCCAAAAGTGGCTCTTGGTCCAAAAGTGGTTCTTGGTCCAAAAGTGGCTCTTGGTCCAAAAGTGGCTCTTGGTCCAAAAGTGGTTCTTGGTCCCAAAGTGGTTCTTGGTCCAAAAGTGGCTCTTGGTCCAAAAGTGGTTCTTCGTCCAAAAGTGGTTCTTGGTCCAAAAGTGGCTCTTGGTCCAAAAGTGGCTCTTGGTCCAAAAGTGGTTCTTGGTCCAAAAGTGGCTCTTGGTCCAAAAGTGGCTCTTGGTCCAAAAGTGGTTCTTGGTCCAAAAGTGGCTCTTGGTCCAAAAGTGGCTCTTGGTCCAAAAGTGGCTCTTGGTCCAAAAGTGGTTCTTGGTCCAAAAGTGGTTCTTGGTCCAAAAGTGGCTCTTGGTCCAAAAGTGGCTCTTGGTCCAAAAGTGGTTCTTGGTCCAAAAGTGGTTCTTGGTCCCAAAGTGGTTCTTGGTCCAAAAGTGGCTCTTGGTCCAAAAGTGGCTCTTGGTCCCAAAGTGGTTCTTGGTCCAAAAGTGGCTCTTGGTCCAAAAGTGGCTCTTGGTCCAAAAGTGGTTCTTGGTCCAAAAGTGGCTCTTGGTCCAAAAGTGGCTCTTGGTCCAAAAGTGGTTCTTGGTCCCAAAGTGGTTCTTGGTCCAAAAGTGGCTCTTGGTCCAAAAGTGGTTCTTGGTCCAAAAGTGGTTCTTGGTCCCAAAGTGGTTCTTGGTCCCAAAGTGGTTCTTGGTCCCAAAGTGGTTCTTGGTCCAAAAGTGGCTCTTGGTCCAAAAGTGGTTCTTGGTCCAAAAGTGGCTCTTGGTCCAAAAGTGGTTCTTGGTCCAAAAGTGGCTCTTGGTCCAAAAGTGGCTCTTGGTCCAAAAGTGGTTCTTGGTCCAAAAGTGGCTCTTGGTCCAAAAGTGGTTCTTGGTCCAAAAGTGGCTCTTGGTCCAAAAGTGGCTCTTGGTCCCAAAGTGGTTCTTGGTCCAAAAGTGGTTCTTGGTCCAAAAGTGGCTCTTGGTCCAAAAGTGGTTCTTGGTCCAAAAGTGGCTCTTGGTCCAAAAGTGGCTCTTGGTCCAAAAGTGGTTCTTGGTCCAAAAGTGGCTCTCGGTCCAAAAGTGGCTTTCGGTCCAAAAGTGGCTCTTGGTCCAAAAGTGGCTCTTGGTCCAAAAGTGGCTCTCGGTCCATGGTCCAAAAGTAGTTCCTGGTCCTAAATTGGGTCTTGGTCTAAAGTGGGTCTTGGTCCAAAAGTGGTTCTTGGTTCAAAAGTGGTTCTTGGCCCAAAAGTGGCTTGGTCCAAAAGTGGTTCTTGGTCCAAAAGTGGTTCATTTTCCTGAGGGAGGGGCTGCCAGCGGCCATTTTGAATCTGCCCATGTCTGTGGCACATACATTTCAAAGCAGGAAATAGACGTCACTACGTCCGTTAATATTTACAGTCTGTGAATTTGCCAACGGGACAAAGCCATTTAGTCTATTTCAAGAAATGTCTCAATGTCAGAATGTGCTCAAATTAAGATAAAAACGACTAATTTCAAGCATTTATTACCTCATATTTTATAATTTTTTACACTAAAGTAACTATGAAAATCAAAATGAGCTTGAACCACTCTATTTCAGCTTTCTACATTTGGCACAGGGGAAAATGTCTTGCAACTTGACTTGAAATGAAACAGTAAGACCATAAACTGCTCGTCCCTTTGACAGAGGAGTCTAAAGGGCCTCGATCCCAGACAAAAAGCCCTTGATTCCAGAATGTGTTTCCATGTATTGGTTCACAGCGGCTCAGTCCGACAGAGACGTGGAGATACTCACATCCAGGGCGCTGTAGTACATCCTCTTGGCGTCCTCGTCCGCCTTGTCCGACATCAGATAGGACTTGATCAGATACTCGTAGAAGCTGTCCCCGAGACCCCCAATGGAGACGTGATCTGAGGGGGGAGGGGGAGACAGGTCAAGATAACGCCTGAAGAGCATAGGGGGAAATTATTGTTATTATATCGCAGACACAGGGAGAACATGCAAACTCACTTCCAACTGGGATCCGAACCTGCGATGAGATGAGAAGCGAGAGTGCTAACCACTCAGACACTACACTGACATTTCTTAAAATGTAAAAACAAATCAGCAAGTGATACTGTGTATATGTGTGTGTGTGTGTGTGTGTGTGTGTGTGTGTGTGTGTGTGTGTGCGTGTATATATATGTGTGTGTGTGTTTGTGTGTATATGTGTGTCTATGTCTATGTGTGTGCGTGTATATATATGTGTGTGTGTAAGTGTATGTGTGTGTGTGTGTATGTATAATGCGTGTACTGTATATCTATGTGTGTCTTTGTGTGTGTGTGTCTATGTGTGTATGCCTATATGTGTGTATGTCTATGTGTGTATGCTTATGTGTGTATGCCTATGTGTGTATGTCTATGCGTGTATGCCTATGTGTGTATGCCTATGTGTGTATGCCTATGTGTGTATGCCTATGTGTGTATGTCTATGCGTGTATGTCTATGTGTGTATGCCTATGTGTGTGTGCTTATGTGTGTATGCCTATGTGTGTATGCCTATGTGTGTATGTCTATGCGTGTATGCCTATGTGTGTATGCCTATGTGTGTATGCCTATGTGTGTATGCCTATGTGTGTATGTCTATGCGTGTATGTCTATGTGTGTATGCCTATGTGTGTGTGCCTATGTGTGTATGCCTATGTGTGTATGTCTCTGTGTGTATGCATATATGTGTGTACGTCTATGTGTGTATGTCTACGTGTGTATGTCTATGTGTGTCTTTGTGTGTGTGTGTCTATGTGTGTATGCCTATGTGTGTATGTCTATGTATGTGTGTATGTCTATGTGTGTATGCCTATGTGTGTATGTCTATGTGTGTGTGTCTATGTGTGTCTTTGTGCACTTGTTTTCAACTCCTGGTGGGTTCCATAACCTGAGATTCCACTCACGTCATGGGGACTGGTTTTACGTGGTGGGGCCCGAACACCGGACCCCACTGGTCCAAGCTTAATAATCAATGGGTAATGCTTTTCTAACGGTCCTTATGCAGTCTCTGTAAAAATATGGAAAGGACCCCTGGAGGTTTACTTTCCTGAAAAAAGTGTGTTATGTGTCGGAACCCTGGTGGTGGGTTGCGGGATATCAAGGAGGGGCACACTGGGGCAATTTCAGTCCAGCAGGCTGGAGCCAATCATGGAGCAGCACAACAGAGGAAATCAGGTGTCAGGCTAGAAAAAGGTGCAAGTGTGTGGTTCATTAGGCTGCAAGAAATCATGGAGGAGCACACTGAAGCGCACGCTTACAAACCACTGGTAAGTGCTGACTACAAGTCATGACTTCAAATTGTTATATAGAATGATTACAAATTATTTGTTGTTTGTGCAGCTTAGTCAAGAGTCCCTAATTGATGAAGTCGACTCAGATTCTGACGATTTAACTGTCAAGAAGAAACCTGTAAAAAAGTATGGAAAAAGAAAAATCAAAAACACTTTTCTTCAAGACTCGGAAAGTGACGAACCAAAGGCAAATAAGATTGTTATCATGCAGCTGCAAAAGAAGAAAAATGGGGGGCGAGTATACAGCAAGAGACACTTCTGCCTCTACTGTTCAATGTCCTGCCACAAAATGTCCCGTCATTTGACTAGAAAACATGGAAATGAAAGTGACGTAGCCAGAGCATTGGCTCTACCTGTGAAATCTAAAGCACGTAAACTTCAGTTTGATTTGATCAGGAATAGTGGAAACCGTGAGCACAATTTTGAGGTTTTAAAGGCCGGCATTGGAACTTTAGTCCCAGCTAAACAGCCAAATTGCCCAGTTAAATCCAGTGAGTTTTTGCACTGTATAGACTGTGGGGCATTGCTTAAGCGAAAGTCGCTGTGGAGGCATGTGGCCAGGTGCCGGCTTTCACAGAAAGATGCCCAGGCTAAACCAGGTAGAAGTAGGGTCCAGTCCCTCTGCTCCCTAGCCCAGCCTGTACCGGAGGGCATCAGCAAAAAGCTGTGGTCTTTAATTTCGGCAATGCATCAGGATGAGGTCACGGGTGTTGTCAAAGCAGAAAAGGGGATTCTGAGACTCGGAGAGCACCTGTACTTAAAACACGGGCATGATAAGACAAAGCATGATTACATTAGGCAGAAAATGAGAGAAGTCGGTAGGTTAATTAACGAAGCAAAAACCGCAGGGAAACTGAAAACAATTAAGGATTTCTTTATTCCTTCCAACTTTAACCATGTGATTGATGCAGTCAGGTCTGTGGCTGGATATGATGAGGAAACAAATCAATACAAGACTCCATCCTTGGCCCTCAAACTCGGCCATAGCCTCAGAAAGCTAGCAGATATTCTTGAATGTGACTCAAAAATGGAGCATTGTGTTGATGAACTATTTATTAAAAACCTCCAACGAAGCCGGCTGCTTTTTGAGAAGAGGTGGGACGTCTGTGTTTCTTCTGCTGCCCTACAGACCCTCCGGCAAGCCAAGTGGAACTAACTCCGGACCTGCTCCCTCTGACTGAGGACGTTAGAGCCATGCATGCACATATTGAGGTATGTCGACCTGAATATGTGCAAACCCTAATAAGTGAGCCAAGTCTAAGCATTGGTCTAAACTGGCAGTTTTGACTCTTTGTGAGGTCATCATTTTCAATCGAAGAAGGGAAGGTGAGGTTTCAAAGATGCCACTGACAGCCTTTACCTTAAGAAGTAAGACTGGGATCCATTCTGACATTGCTCTGGGACTGTCCCAACTTGAGAAAAAACATGTTCAGTATGCTAACATGTACAGTAGCATGCTAACATGTGCAGTAGCATGCTAACATGTACAGTAGCATGCTAACATGTACAGTAGCATGCTAACATGTACAGTAGCATGCTAACATGTACAGTAGCATGCTAACATGTGCAGTACAGTAGTATGCTAACATGTACAGTATGCTAACATGTACAGTAGTATGCTAACATGTACAGTAGTATGCTAACATGTACAGTAGCATGCTAACATGTGCAGTAGCATGCTAACATGTACAGTAGCATGCTAACATGTACAGTAGCATGCTAACATGTACAGTAGCATGCTAACATGTACAGTAGCATGCTAACATGTGCAGTACAGTAGTATGCTAACATGTACAGTATGCTAACATGTACAGTAGCATGCTAACATGTACAGTATGCTAACATGTGCAGTAGTATGCTAACATGTGCAGTAGCATGCTAACATGTACAGTATGCTAACATGTACAGTAGCATGCTAACATGTACAGTAGTATGCTAACATGTACAGTAGTATGCTAACATGTACAGTAGTATGCTAACATGTACAGTACAGTAGTATGCTAACATGTACAGTATGCTAACATGTGCAGTAGTATGCTAACATGTACAGTAGCATGCTAACATGTGCAGTAGTATGCTAACATGTGCAGTAGCATGCTAACATGTACAGTAGTATGCTAACATGTACAGTAGCATGCTAACATGTACAGTAGCATGCTAACATGTACAGTAGTATGCTAACATGTACAGTATGCTAACATGTACAGTAGCATGCTAACATGTACAGTAGCATGCTAACATGTACAGTAGTATGCTAACATGTACAGTAGCATGCTAACATGTGCAGTAGCATGCTAACATGTACAGTAGCATGCTAACATGTACAGTAGCATGCTAACATGTACAGTAGCATGCTAACATGTACAGTAGCATGCTAACATGTACAGTAGCATGCTAACATGTGCAGTACAGTAGTATGCTAACATGTACAGTATGCTAACATGTACAGTAGCATGCTAACATGTGCAGTACAGTAGTATGCTAACATGTACAGTATGCTAACATGTACAGTAGTATGCTAACATGTACAGTAGTATGCTAACATGTACAGTAGTATGCTAACATGTACAGTAGTATGCTAACATGTACAGTAGTATGCTAACATGTACAGTAGTATGCTAACATGTACAGTAGTATGCTAACATGTACAGTACAGTAGTATGCTAACATGTACAGTATGCTAACATGTACAGTAGCATGCTAACATGTACAGTAGTATGCTAACATGTGCAGTACAGTAGCATGCTAACATGTACAGTAGCATGCTAACATGTGCAGTAGCATGCTAACATGTACAGTAGCATGCTAACATGTACAGTAGCATGCTAACACCTTCATTTAGCCCTCACTGTGAAGGTGAAAGTATGTACAGTCACACCTGTATTTGACACATGCTGCAGTCTTACTTTGTTACAACATCAAACCTTCCAAACCCTCTCAGATCAAACCCTCTCAGATCAAACCCTCTCAGATCAAACCCTCTCAGATCAAACCCTCTCAGATCAAACCCTCTCAGATCAAACCCTCTCAGATCAAACCCTCTCAGATCAAACCCTCTCAGAACAAACCCTCTCAGAACAAACCCTCTCAGATCAAACCCTCTCAGAACAAACCCTCTCAGAACAAACCCTCTCAGATCAAACCCTCTCAGATCAAACCCTCTCAGATCAAACCCTCTCAGAACAAACCCTCTCAGAACAAACCCTCTCAGATCAAACCCTCTCAGAACAAACCCTCTCAGATCAAACCCTCTCAGATCAAACCCTCTCAGATCAAACCCTCTCAGAACAAACCCTCTCAGAACAAACCCTCTCAGATCAAACCCTCTCAGATCAAACCCTCTCAGAACAAACCCTCTCAGAACAAACCCTCTCAGATCAAACCCTCTCAGAACAAACCCTCTCAGATCAAACCCTCTCAGATCAAACCCTCTCAGATCAAACCCTCTCAGATCAAACCCTCTCAGATCAAACCCTCTCAGATCAAACCCTCTCAGAACAAACCCTCTCAGAACAAACCCTCTCAGATCAAACCCTCTCAGATCAAACCCTCTCAGAACAAACCCTCTCAGAACAAACCCTCTCAGATCAAACCCTCTCAGAACAAACCCTCTCAGAACAAACCCTCTCAGATCAAACCCTCTCAGATCAAACCCTCTCAGAACAAACCCTCTCAGAACAAACCCTCTCAGATCAAACCCTCTCAGAACAAACCCTCTCAGATCAAACCCTCTCAGATCAAACCCTCTCAGATCAAACCCTCCTCTCAGATCAAACCCTCTCAGATCAAACCCTCTCAGATCAAACCCTCTCAGATCAAACCCTCTCAGATCTCAAACAAACCCTCTCAGATCAAACCCTCTCAGAACAAACCCTCTCAGATCAAACCCTCTCATCAATCAAACCCTCTCTCAGAACAGATCAAACCCTCTCAGAACAAACCCTCTCTCAGATCAAACCCTCTCAGAACAAACCCCTCTCAGATCAAACCCCTCTCAGATCAAACCCTCTCAGATCAAACCCTCTCAGATCAAACCCTCTCAGATCAAACCCTCTCAGAACAAACCCTCTCAGATCAAACCCTCTCAGATCAAACCCTCTCAGAACAAACCCTCTCAGAACAAACCCTCTCAGATCAAACCCTCTCAGAACAAACCCTCTCAGAACAAACCCTCTCAGATCAAACCCTCTCAGATCAAACCCTCTCAGAACAAACCCTCTCAGATCAAAACCCTCTCAGAACAAACCCTCTCAGAACAAACCCTCTCAGATCAAACCCTCTCAGATCAAACCCTCTCAGATCAAACCCTCTCAGAACAAACCCTCTCAGATCAAACCCTCTCAGAACAAACCCTCTCAGATCAAACCCTCTCAGATCAAACCCTCTCAGAACAAACCCTCTCAGATCAAACCCTCTCAGATCAAACCCTCTCAGATCAAACCCTCTCAGATCAAACCCTCTCAGATCAAACCCTCTCAGAACAAACCCTCTCAGACACCCCTCAACAAAAACCCTCTCAGAACAAACCCTCTCAGAACAAACCCTCTCAGATCAAACCCTCTCAGAACAAACCCTCTCAGATCAAACCCTCTCAGAACAAACCCTCTCAGATCAAACCCTCTCAGATCAAACCCTCTCAGATCAAACCCTCTCAGATCAAACCTGATTCTTTGAGCAGAGAAAGCAGTAATTCCCACATGTTGCTGTAAACACAATTAAAATAATGTAATTAAAACGCGCTGCGGCTCCGAGACCTTGACGCTAATCGCTCCGAGGAAACTTCAAAATCAAATTTAGTCAAATAAGATTGTGATCGGATTAAACTCTTTACCATTTACAACGGCTTTTCTTTCTAATTATAGTTAAAGTAAAGTGCATAAATGTAATAGGTGTTAATTCTGTTTAAACAAATATGAAGTGAGTATTATATAGTAATAATGTTTCCGACAGTATTTTCAATGTGGTTTTACTGCAAATGGCAAAATAAACGCTTGTATCAATCGACTAAAGTCAGAAAATAAAATAATTTTAGCGTCAACAAACATCGTAGAGACACTTTAAAGTCATAACTGTTTTCATCATGAGTGGGTTTTATAAAGACAGTCTCTTCACTTCATCATTCTCTCTCTTCAAACACAGTGATGAACTGTAGCCACAGCTGCCCTGGGGCACACTGACAGTAGCCACAGCTGCCCTGGGGCACACTGACAGTAGCCACAGCTGCCCTGGGGCACACTGACAGTAGCCACAGCTGCCCTGGGGCACACTGACAGAAGCCACAGCTGCCCTGGGGCACACTGACAGTAGCCACAGCTGCCCTGGGGCACACTGACAGTAGCCACAGCTGCCCTGGGGCACACTGACAGTAGCCACAGCTGCCCTGGGGCACACTGACAGTAGCCACAGCTGCCCTGGGGCACACTGACAGAAGCCCCTCCCACCAGCTCTGTGTTCTTCTTGTTTTTTGTAAAGCGTCTTTGAGTGTCCTGAAGGTCGTGGGTTCGAGTCCACCACAAGACTTTCTCCACTGACTCCCACTGATGTCTGCTGCCGTTGTGTCCTTGGGCAAGACACTTAACCTCTGGGAACCAGTGTTGTGCGTGAACGAGTTCATAAGAACGCGTTCATTGTTCCGTGAACGTTGAACTGAACGCAACACATTTTTAAAAAAATAACTTGAACGTGAATTAGTTCATTTTATGTGTCATGAACGGCAGACATCACTATGAACGTTGGAATCTGTTTTCTCTTTTGAAACGCAACGAGAGAAAGTTCCTCCCTCCTGTATTCTCGCACTTTTTCCGCCGAAAACTAAAAATTCCTACGGTTTCCACCGTCTGTGAACGCACCCCGACTCTGTGTTGTGGTATATTATATACGGTCTATGGTTGTGGTGCGGCGCTGTGAGCTGGTGCTTTTCACATGTGCCCGAGTCGTGATGAAAACACAGGGTGAGTTAGCGACAAAGTTTACATTTGACATAAAGTATAAACACACGCACTGCAGCGCATTACTGTCTGTAGTTTATGAGCATAAAGTACAGACACAGCACTGCAGCGCATTACTGTCTGTAGTTTATGAGTATAAAGTACAGACACAGCACTGCGGCGCATTACTGTCTGTAGTTTATGAGCATAAAGTACAGACACAGCACTGCAGCGCATTACTGTCTGTAGTTTATGAGCATAAATACAGACACAGCACTGCAGCGCATTACTGTCTGTAGTTTATGAGCATAAAGTACAGACACAGCACTGCGGCGCATTACTGTCTGTAGTTTATGAGCATAAAGTACAGACACAGCACTGCGGCGCATTACTGTCTGTAGTTTATGAGCATAAAGTACAGACACAGCACTGCGGCGCATTAGTCTGTAGTTTATGAGCATAAAGTACAGACACACGCACTGCAGCGCATTACTGTCTGTAGTTTATTATAAAGTACAGACACAGCACTGCGGCGCATTACTGTAGTAGTTTATGAGCATAAAGTACAGACACAGCACTGCAGCGCATTACTGTCTGTAGTTTATGAGCATAAAGTACAGACACAGCACTGCGGCGCATTACTGTCTGTAGTTTATGAGCATAAAGTACAGACACAGCACTGCAGCGCATTACTGTCTGTAGTTTTGAGCATAAAAATACAGACACACGCACTGCAGCGCATTACTGTCTGTAGTTTATGAGCATAAAGTACAGACACAGCACTGCAGCGCATTACTGTCTGTAGTTTATGAGCATAAAGTACAGACACAGCACTGCAGCACATTACTGTCTGTAGTTTATGAGCATAAAGTACAGACACAGCACTGCAGCGCATTACTGTCTGTAGTTTATGAGCATAAAGTACAGACACAGCACTGCAGCGCATTACTGTCTGTAGTTTATGAGCATAAAGTACAGACACAGCACTGCGGCGCATTACTGTCTGTAGTTTATGAGCATAAAGTACAGACACAGCACTGCGGCGCATTACTGTCTGTAGTTTATGAGCATAAAGTACAGACACAGCACTGCAGCGCATTACTGTCTGTAGTTTATGAGCATAAAGTACAGACACAGCACTGCGGCGCATTACTGTCTGTAGTTTATGAGCATAAAGTACAGACACACGCACTGCAGCGCATTACTGTCTGTAGTTTATGAGCATAAAGTACAGACACAGCACTGCGGCGCATTACTGTCTGTAGTTTATGAGCATAAAGTACAGACACACGCACTGCAGCGCATTACTGTCTGTAGTTTATGAGTATAAAGTACAGACACAGCACTGCGGCGCATTACTGTCTGTAGTTTATGAGCATAAAGTACAGACACAGCACTGCAGCGCATTACTGTCTGTAGTTTATGAGCATAAAGTACAGACACACGCACTGCAGCGCATTACTGTCTGTAGTTTATGAGCATAAAGTACAGACACAGCACTGCAGCGCATTACTGTCTGTAGTTTATGAGCATAAAGTACAGACACAGCACTGCAGCACATTACTGTCTGTAGTTTATGAGCATAAAGTACAGACACAGCACTGCAGCGCATTACTGTCTGTAGTTTATGAGCATAAAGTACAGACACAGCACTGCAGCGCATTACTGTCTGTAGTTTATGAGCATAAAGTACAGACACAGCACTGCAGCACATTACTGTCTGTAGTTTATGAGCATAAAGTACAGACACAGCACTGCAGCGCATTACTGTCTGTAGTTTATGAGCATAAAGTACAGACACAGCACTGCGGCGCATTACTGTCTGTAGTTTATGAGCATAAAGTACAGACACAGCACTGCAGCGCATTACTGTCTGTAGTTTATGAGCATAAAGTACAGACACAGCACTGCGGCGCATTACTGTCTGTAGTTTATGAGCATAAAGTACAGACACAGCACTGCAGCGCATTACTGTCTGTAGTTTATGAGCATAAAGTACAGACACAGCACTGCGGCGCATTACTGTCTGTAGTTTATGAGCATAAAGTACAGACACACGCACTGCAGCGCATTACTGTCTGTAGTTTATGAGCATAAAGTACAGACACAGCACTGCGGCGCATTACTGTCTGTAGTTTATGAGCATAAAGTACAGACACAGCACTGCGGCGCATTACTGTCTGTAGTTTATGAGCATAAAGTACAGACACAGCACTGCGGCGCATTACTGTCTGTAGTTTATGAGCATAAAGTACAGACACAGCACTGCGGCGCATTACTGTCTGTAGTTTATGAGCATAAAGTACAGACACAGCACTGCGGCGCATTACTGTCTGTAGTTTATGAGCATAAAGTACAGACACACGCACTGCAGCGCATTACTGTCTGTAGTTTATGAGTATAAAGTACAGACACAGCACTGCGGCGCATTACTGTCTGTAGTTTATGAGCATAAAGTACAGACACACGCACTGCAGCGCATTACTGTCTGTAGTTTATGAGTATAAAGTACAGACACAGCACTGCGGCGCATTACTGTCTGTAGTTTATGAGCATAAAGTACAGACACAGCACTGCAGCGCATTACTGTCTGTAGTTTATGAGCATAAAGTACAGACACACGCACTGCAGCGCATTACTGTCTGTAGTTTATGAGCATAAAGTACAGACACAGCACTGCAGCGCATTACTGTCTGTAGTTTATGAGTATAAAGTACAGACACAGCACTGCGGCGCATTACTGTCTGTAGTTTATGAGCATAAAGTACAGACACAGCACTGCAGCGCATTACTGTCTGTAGTTTATGAGTATAAAGTACAGACACAGCACTGCGGCGCATTACTGTCTGTAGTTTATGAGTATAAAGTACAGACACAGCACTGCAGCGCATTACTGTCTGTAGTTTATGAGCATAAAGTACAGACACAGCACTGCAGCGCATTACTGTCTGTAGTTTATGAGCATAAAGTACAGACACACGCACTGCAGCGCATTACTGTCTGTAGTTTATGAGCATAAAGTACAGACACAGCACTGCAGCGCATTACTGTCTGTAGTTTATGAGCATAAAGTACAGACACAGCACTGCAGCACATTACTGTCTGTAGTTTATGAGCATAAAGTACAGACACAGCACTGCAGCACATTACTGTCTGTAGTTTATGAGCATAAAGTACAGACACAGCACTGCAGCACATTACTGTCTGTAGTTTATGAGCATAAAGTACAGACACAGCACTGCAGCGCATTACTGTCTGTAGTTTATGAGCATAAAGTACAGACACAGCACTGCAGCACATTACTGTCTGTAGTTTATGAGCATAAAGTACAGACACAGCACTGCAGCGCATTACTGTCTGTAGTTTATGAGCATAAAGTACAGACACAGCACTGCAGCGCATTACTGTCTGTAGTTTATGAGCATAAAGTACAGACACAGCACTGCGGCGCATTACTGTCTGTAGTTTATGAGCATAAAGTACAGACACACGCACTGCAGCGCATTACTGTCTGTAGTTTATGAGCATAAAGTACAGACACAGCACTGCGGCGCATTACTGTCTGTAGTTTATGAGCATAAAGTACAGACACAGCACTGCAGCGCATTACTGTCTGTAGTTTATGAGCATAAAGTACAGACACAGCACTGCGGCGCATTACTGTCTGTAGTTTATGAGCATAAAGTACAGACACAGCACTGCGGCGCATTACTGTCTGTAGTTTATGAGCATAAAGTACAGACACAGCACTGCGGCGCATTACTGTCTGTAGTTTATGAGCATAAAGTACAGACACACGCACTGCAGCGCATTACTGTCTGTAGTTTATGAGTATAAAGTACAGACACAGCACTGCGGCGCATTACTGTCTGTAGTTTATGAGCATAAAGTACAGACACACGCACTGCAGCGCATTACTGTCTGTAGTTTATGAGTATAAAGTACAGACACAGCACTGCGGCGCATTACTGTCTGTAGTTTATGAGCATAAAGTACAGACACAGCACTGCAGCGCATTACTGTCTGTAGTTTATGAGCATAAAGTACAGACACACGCACTGCAGCGCATTACTGTCTGTAGTTTATGAGCATAAAGTACAGACACAGCACTGCAGCGCATTACTGTCTGTAGTTTATGAGCATAAAGTACAGACACAGCACTGCGGCGCATTACTGTCTGTAGTTTATGAGCATAAAGTACAGACACAGCACTGCAGCGCATTACTGTCTGTAGTTTATGAGTATAAAGTACAGACACAGCACTGCGGCGCATTACTGTCTGTAGTTTATGAGCATAAAGTACAGACACAGCACTGCAGCGCATTACTGTCTGTAGTTTATGAGTATAAAGTACAGACACAGCACTGCGGCGCATTACTGTCTGTAGTTTATGAGCATAAAGTACAGACACAGCACTGCAGCGCATTACTGTCTGTAGTTTATGAGCATAAAGTACAGACACAGCACTGCAGCGCATTACTGTCTGTAGTTTATGAGCATAAAGTACAGACACAGCACTGCAGCACATTACTGTCTGTAGTTTATGAGCATAAAGTACAGACACAGCACTGCAGCACATTACTGTCTGTAGTTTATGAGCATAAAGTACAGACACAGCACTGCAGCGCATTACTGTCTGTAGTTTATGAGCATAAAGTACAGACACAGCACTGCAGCACATTACTGTCTGTAGTTTATGAGCATAAAGTACAGACACAGCACTGCAGCACATTACTGTCTGTAGTTTATGAGCATAAAGTACAGACACAGCACTGCAGCACATTACTGTCTGTAGTTTATGAGCATAAAGTACAGACACAGCACTGCAGCGCATTACTGTCTGTAGTTTATGAGCATAAAGTACAGACACAGCACTGCAGCGCATTACTGTCTGTAGTTTATGAGCATAAAGTACAGACACAGCACTGCAGCGCATTACTGTCTGTAGTTTATGAGCATAAAGTACAGACACAGCACTGCAGCGCATTACTGTCTGTAGTTTATGAGCATAAAGTACAGACACAGCACTGCAGCGCATTACTGTCTGTAGTTTATGAGCATAAAGTACAGACACAGCACTGCAGCGCATTACTGTCTGTAGTTTATGAGCAGAGATGGAACCACTCCGTTTGCCTCCCATTGAAAACCATGTAAATCTGGTCTGTTTTGTGGTCAACAGGCTCTCCTCCTGTGGGTGTACAGGAGATATATATATATATATATATATATATATATATAATTTAAAAAAATTATATATGTGAAAAAAAGTATTTATTTGACTTTCACGAAAAAAGTAAAATGAACTGAACTTTGAACTAGTTCAGAAAAGCTGTGAACTGGCACAACACTGCTGAGATCAGCAGGTGCCACAGTGGGGCGGCTGCGGCTGTAAAGTGCCAGACTGTGGTTGTGTCCTTAGGCAAGACACTTCCCCCACATTAGAATGAGTCTGGTGTGTGTGTGAATGGTTGGTGGTGGTGGGAGGGGCCTCGCTTCTGTCAGTGTGCCCCAGGGCAGCTGTGGCTACAGTAGTTTATCACCTGTGTTTGGAGAGAATGATGTGAAGAGACTTTGAGCGTCCAAAAGAGCGCTGTATAAAACCAATGCAGTCTCATTAATTATTATTGTTATTATTATTGTTATTATTATTATTATTATGACACATACCAACTTATGACTCCTCTTTCTCCTGCTGCGTCGAGGCATTTGATTTGAAAACGATAAATTGTTTATTATTGCTGCAGGAGACGAGGCTGTTTCATGTGAGCAGCAGGTCAGAGTCACCTTTGTGTGGCTCAGGCTCCGGTGGCTCAGGCTCCGGTGGCTCAGGCTCCGGTGGATCCAGGCCCCGGTGGCTCAGGCTCCGGTGGCTCAGGCTCCGGTGGCTCAGGCTCCGGTGGCTCAGGCTCCGGTGGCTCAGGCTCCGGTGGATCCAGGCCCCGGTGGCTCAGGCTCCGGTGGCTCAGGCCCCGGTGGATCCAGGCCCCGGTGGCTCAGGCTCCGGTGGCTCAGGCTCCGGTGGATCCAGGCCCCGGTGGATCCAGGCCCCGGTGGCTCAGGCCCCGGTGGCTCAGGCTCCGGTGGCTCAGGCTCCGGTGGCTCAGGCTCCGGTGGCTCAGGCTCCGGTGGCTCAGGCTCCGGTGGCTCAGGCTCCGGTGGCTCAGGCTCCGGTGGATCCAGGCCCCGGTGGCTCAGGCCCCGGTGGCTCAGGCCCCGGTGGATCCAGGCCCCGGTGGCTCAGGCCCCGGTGGCTCAGGCCCCGGTGGCTCAGGCTCCGGTGGCTCAGGCCCCGGTGGCTCAGGCCCCGGTGGATCCAGGCCCCGGTGGCTCAGGCCCCGGTGGCTCAGGCCCCGGTGGCTCAGGCCCCGGTGGCTCAGGCCCCGGTGGCTCAGGCTCCGGTGGCTCAAGCCCCGGTGGATCCAGGCTCCGGTGGATCCAGGCCCCGGTGGCTCAGGCTCCGGTGGCTCAGGCCCCGGTGGCTCAGGCTCCGGTGGCTCAGGCCCCGGTGGATCCAGGCCCCGGTGGATCCAGGCCCCGGTGGATCCAGGCCCCGGTGGATCCAGGCCCCGGTGGATCCAGCCGGGTCCCCCGGTGGATCCAGGCCCCGGTGGATCCAGGCCCCGGTGGATCCAGGCCCCTGTGGCTCAGGCTCCGGTGGCTCAGGCTCCGGTGGCTCAGGCTCCGGTGGATCCAGGCCCCGGTGGCTCAGGCTCCGGTGGATCCAGGCCCCGGTGGCTCAGGCTCCGGTGGCTCAGGCCCCGGTGGATCCAGGCCCCGGTGGATCCAGGCCCCGGTGGATCCAGGCCCCGGTGGATCCAGGCCCCGGTGGATCCAGGCCCCGGTGGATCCAGGCCCCTGTGGCTCAGGCTCCGGTGGCTCAGGCTCCGGTGGCTCAGGCTCCGGTGGCTCAGGCTCCGGTGGCTCAGGCTCCGGTGGATCCAGGCCCCTGTGGCTCAGGCTCCGGTGGCTCCAGGCCCCGGTGGCTCAGGCTCCGGTGGATCCAGGCCCCTGTGGCTCAGGCTCCGGTGGATCCAGGCCCCGGTGGCTCAGGCTCCGGTGGCTCAGGCTCCGGTGGATCCAGGCCCAAAGACTTAGTGAAGAAAACTGTGGCGCTGTAGAAAAAGAGAATGTGTAGTTCTGGGACTCCGCACAGACGACACCGGTTTAAAGTCCAGAGCTGTAGACTTCAGGGACACGCCTCTCTCTGAGCGACTGTTCTCTAAATGTATATCATATTTATGTTGTTGCTGTTTTAAAATGTACTTTTCAAAACGTTTGGATAATTCAGAACCTCAACTGTTATGTCATCTATGCTAAAGCTAGAGGTTTTATACTAGCTTCTTTATTATGCTAAAGCTAGAGGTTTTATACTAGCTTCTTTATTATGCTAAAGCTAGAGGTTTTATACTAGCTTCTTTATTATGCTAAAGCTAGAGATTTATACTAGCTTCTTTATTATGCTAAAGCTAGAGGTTTTATACTAGCTTCTTTATTATGCTAAAGCTAGAGGTTTTATACTAGCTTCTTTATTATGCTAAAGCTAGAGATTTTATACTAGCTTCTTTATTATGCTAAAGCTAGAGATTTTATACTAGCTTCTTTATTATGCTAAAGCTAGATATTTTATACTAGCTTCTTTATTATGCTAAAGCTAGATGTTTTATACTAGCTTCTTTATTATGCTAAAGCTAGATGTTTTATACTAGCTTCTTTATTATGCTAAAGCTAGAGATTTTATACTAGCTTCTTTATTATGCTAAAGCTAGATACTTATACTAGCTTCTTTATTATGCTAAAGCTAGATACTTATACTAGCTTCTTTATTATGCTAAAGCTAGAGGTTTTATACTAGCTTCTTTATTATGCTAAAGCTAGAGATTTTATACTAGCTTCTTTATTATGCTAAAGCTAGAGGTTTATACTAGCTTCTTTATTATGCTAAAGCTAGAGGTTTTATACTAGCTTCTTTATTATGCTAAAGCTAGAGGTTTTATACTAGCTTCTTTATTATGCTAAAGCTAGATTTTATACTAGCTTCTTTATTATGCTAAAGCTAGATATTTTATACTAGCTTCTTTATTATGCTAAAGCTAGAGATTTTATACTAGCTTCTTTATTATGCTAAAGCTAGATACTTATACTAGCTTCTTTATTATGCTAAAGCTAGATATTTTATACTAGCTTCTTTATTATGCTAAAGCTAGAGGTTTATACTAGCTTCTTTATTATGCTAAAGCTAGATACTTATACTAGCTTCTTTATTATGCTAAAGCTAGAGATTTATACTAGCTTCTTTATTATGCTAAAGCTAGGTACTTATACTAGCTTCTTTATTATGCTAAAGCTAGATACTTATACTAGCTTCTTTATTATGCTAAAGCTAGATACTTATACTAGCTTCTTTATTATGCTAAAGCTAGATACTTATACTAGCTTCTTTATTATGCTAAAGCTAGAGATTTATACTAGCTTCTTTATTATGCTAAAGCTAGATGTTTTATACTAGCTTCTTTATTATGCTAAAGCTAGAGGTTTTATACTAGCTTCTTTATTATGCTAAAGCTAGAGGTTTATACTAGCTTCTTTATTATGCTAAAGCTAGAGATTTTATACTAGCTTCTTTATTATTTTATACTAGCTTCTTTATTATGCTAAAGCTAGAGTTTTATACTAGCTTCTTTATTATGCTAAAGCTAGATTTATACTACTAGCTTCTTTATTATGCTAAAGCTAGACTCTTATTATGCTTATTATACTAGCTTCTTTATTATGCTAAAGCTAGAGATTTATACTAGCTTCTTTATTATGCTAAAGCTAGATACTTATACTAGCTTCTTTATTATGCTAAAGCTAGATATTTTATACTAGCTTCTTTATTATGCTAAAGCTAGAGGTTTATACTAGCTTCTTTATTATGCTAAAGCTAGATGTTTTATACTAGCTTCTTTATTATGCTAAAGCTAGATATTTTATACTAGCTTCTTTATTATGCTAAAGCTAGAGGTTTTATACTAGCTTCTTTATTATGCTAAAGCTAGATACTTATACTAGCTTCTTTATTATGCTAAAGCTAGATACTTATACTAGCTTCTTTATTATGCTAAAGCTAGATACTTATACTAGCTTCTTTATTATGCTAAAGCTAGATGTTTTATGCTAGCTTCTTTGGAAGGGGAAGCAAGTATAAAGTGCTTCTCCTACTTGGAAACCGGAGTACCTGGAGGAAACCTAGGCAGACACGAGGAGAACACTCATAAAGGCCCTGTTCCGACAACAAATAAACATAATACCATGATACGATACTAAAATGCAATGAAAGTAATGCATTATATTTTTTAATTGAAAGAGGATTGTACAGTCTCTGGTGAAGGGTTAGTCAGACTGAAACACCAGCGAGTGTTTGGATCCTTTATGGTAACTTTATGGTAACTTTATGGTAACTTTATGGTAACTTTATGGTAACTTTATGGTAACTTTATGGTAACTTTATGGTAACTTTATGGTAACTTTATGGTAACTTTATGGTAACTTTATGGTAACTTTATGGTAACTTTATGGTAACTTTATGGTAACTTTATGGTAACTTTATGGTAACTTTATGGTAACTTTATGGTAACTTTAACTTTATGGTAACTTTATGGTAACTTTATGGTAACTTTATGGTAACTTTATGGTAACTTTATGGTAACTTTATGGTAACTTTATGGTAACTTTATGGTAACTTTATGGTAACTTTATGGTAACTTTATGGTAACTTTATGGTAACTTTATGGTAACTTTATGCTAACTTTATGGTAACTTTATGCTAACTTTATGGTAACTTTATGGTAACTTTATGGTAAACCAGTTAGCAGGAGACAGGTGTGACACGGTCAGACCACATTCTTTCTCTGGCTCACTCACATTCCTCACATTCCAGCGGCATTACATCTGAGCGCTGTCTACGTCTGTTGGAACTTCCAGAACTCTCTGGAGAGAAAGGAAATAACTGACCCTAGGATTCCCAGAAAGTGTTAAGTTTTCCAACCGGTTTTATTTCCTCTCAGTCTTTACTTTTATTGCTTTTAATAAGTGCTAAAACTGGGGAAAATAAACCTGAAAAACTGAAGAAAAAAAAACGTATTAGCTTAAATGCTAACACATGCTAACACTGTGAGTGGACAATGCATCGCTATGGTTACCGTGGAAAAAAACAAATACCAGTCCAGGACCAGACCAGGACCAAACCAGGACCAGACCAGACCAGGACCAGACCAGGACTAGACCAGGACTAGACCAGGACCAGACCAGGACCAGACCAGGACCAAACCAGGACCAGACCAGGACCAGACCAGGACAAGACCAGGACTAGACCAGGACCAGACCAGGACCAGACCAGGACCAAACCAGGACCAGACCAGGACCAGACCAGACCAGGACCAGACCAGGACAAGACCAGGACTAGACCAGGACCAGACCAGGACCAAACCAGGACCAGACCAGGACCAGACCAGGACCAGACCAGGACCAGACCAGGACCAGACCAGGACCAGACCAGGACCAGTCCAGGACCAGACCAGGACCAGACCAGGACAAGACCAGGACCAAACCAGGACCAGACCAGACCAGGACTAGACCAGGAAAAGACCAGGACTAGACCAGGACCAGACCAGGACCAGACCAGGACCAAACCAGGACCAGACCAGGACCAGACCAGGACAAGACCAGGACTAGACCAGGACCAGACCAGGACCAGACCAGGACCAAACCAGGACCAGACCAGGACCAGACCAGGACCAGACCAGGACCAGACCAGGACCAGACCAGGACCAGTCCAGGACCAGACCAGGACCAGACCAGGACCAGACCAGGACAAGACCAGGACTAGACCAGGACCAGACCAGGACCAGACCAGGACCAAACCAGGACCAGACCAGGACCAGACCAGGACAAGACCAGGACTAGACCAGGACCAGACCAGGACCAAACCAGGACCAGACCAGGACCAGACCAGGACCAGACCAGACCAGGACCAGACCAGGACCAGACCAGACCAGGACCAGACCAGGACAAGACCAGGACTAGACCAGGACCAGACCAGGACCAAACCAGGACCAGACCAGGACCAGACCAGGACCAGACCAGGACCAGACCAGGACCAGACCAGGACCAGTCCAGGACCAGACCAGGACAAGACCAGGACTAGACCAGGATAAGACCAGGAATTGATATGGACCAGACCAGGACTAAACCAGGACCAAACCAGGACCAGTCCAGGACTAATCAAGGAAAAGTCCAGGATCAGACCAGGACAAGACCAGGACTAGACCAGGACCAGACCAGGACCAAACCAGGACCAGACCAGGACCAGACCAGGACCAGACCAGGACCAGACCAGGACCAGACCAGGACCAGACCAGGACCAGTCCAGGACCAGACCAGGACCAGACCAGGACAAGACCAGGACTAGACCAGGATAAGACCAGGAATTGATATGGACCAGACCAGGACTAAACCAGGACCAAACCAGGACCAGTCCAGGACTAATCAAGGAAAAGTCCAGGATCAGACCACGACCAGACCAGGACCAATCCAGTAACAAACCAAGACCAGTCCAGGGCTAGAGCAGGACCAGACCAGGATCAGTCTAGGAACAAACAAATACCAGTCCAGGAGCAGACCAGGACCAGACCAGGACCAGACCAGGACCTGACCAGGACCAGCACAACTTCCACAGAATGTTGGTTTTCATTAAACATATGTGCCCCGGGGCAGCTGTGGCTTTAGTGTTTGGATTGAATTAATAATGAAGTGTGAGGCGCCTTTGAGCGTCCAGAAAGATATAAAATGTTATTTTTAAAAAGTATTTAAACACACACAGAGTTGTAGATCCACAAAACTGACTCAGACTCGTCCCAGTTTCTTCATTAAATGTCCTGTTACAAACACCTGGTCTGGGCCTAAGATCTATTCAAGCAACAACGATAACATGATTATATTTTTATTTTCTCCTAACAATAAGCTCACAAATGGTTCAGATTTTCTCTTGGCGCCTCCTGCTGGTTGTTTACTGTAAAGTGCAGAACTTATTTAGTAACAACCTAATGTTCAATGTGTTGTTTGTCCATTTACTGAGCTG